TCCCAGGGTGGGTTTGGAGTGGGCACTGCTCTCAGTCTCTTCTTGCTGTGAGGTTGGGGGACTAGGTCATAGAGGGCTATGGGGATCTGGGGGCCCTAGAGGGCTGTGGGGTCTGGACCCACCCTGCCCTGGCACCTGTACTGACCAAGAGAGAACTATAGCCCCCTCTACTCCTTACAACTCTGGGGCTCCTTTCAACCTCTGAAACGTGAGCTGCAGTGTCTTCCTCACCACGACCTCCGAATCACGATATGGGAACTGATCGGGCTTTCCATGTTTTCAGGGCGCACTGGGTGCTGGGGAGGAGGCCTAGAGATGGTTTTGTCTGACAGTGTGTGGGGGCGGTGAGGGCTTGTGAAACCTTTCAGATCCAGGGATTGTTCCTTTTCTTTGATCTTTATCTTTTTTTTTTTTTTTTTTTGAGAAGGAAACCAGCTCTGTTGTCTAGGCTGGAGTGCAGTGGCTGGATCTTGACCAACTGCAAACTCTGCCTCCCAGGTTCAAGCAGCTCTCGTGCTTCAGCCTCCTGAGTAGCTGGGACTACAGGCACTCACCACCACACCCAGCTCATTTTTAGAAGAGATGGGGTTTCACCATGTTGGCCAGGCTGTTCTCAAACCCCTGACCTCAGGTGATCCACCCACCTCAGCCTCCCAAAGTGCTGGGATTACAAGCATGAGCCACTGTGCCCAGCCTCCCCCCTCCCCTTTTTAAAAAATATTTTATTTCATTTTTTTATTAAGACAAGGTTTCACCAGGTTGGTCAGGCTGGTCTTGAACTCCCGACCTCGGGTGATCCGCCCGCCTTGGCCTCCAAAGTGCTTGGATTACAGGCGTGAGCCACTGCGCCTGGCCCCCTTTTTCTTTTAAATATATTTTTAATTTTTCTTTGCCAACCTCCCCTTTTTATTGAAACATTATTTATCAGGAGTCTTGCACTGTCTCCCAGGCTGGAGTGCAGTGGCACGATCTGGGCTCACTGCATCCTCTGCGTCCCGTGTTCAAGCAATTCTCCTGCCTCAGCCTCCCGAGTAGCTGAGACTACAGGCCCCCACCTCCACACCCTGCTAAATTTTGTATTTTTAGTAGAGATGGGGTTTAACCATGTTGGCCAGGCTGGTCTCGGTTGTGATCCGCCCTCCTCAGCCTCCCAAAGTGCTGGGATTAAAGGCATGAGCCACCGCACCTGGCCTATAATTTACATTTGTATTGTAAACTAATTTGTCTTTAATCTGGAGGTTTCATAAAATGCTAGAATCCATCAGCCTAAAGGAGACTTGGCAGCCATACCAGGGGAGCCAGCCTCTGGTGCTTCAGAGAACAGCCTCAGGAGCTCCCCTAGTATGACTGGGATTTTATCCTAGCAAGGGATGCTGCTCCCATGGCAGCCCCTGGGCTGTGGAAGCAGCATCCCTTGCTGGGAGAAAACCTTCCCAGCCTCCTGGAAGTCTGGAGAGGCACGGCTCTGGAGGAGAGGGCAGAGCTGTTGCCTTGAAGAGCCTGCTCTGTGTTCCTTTGCCCGGCCTCCCTCCTCCCTGGCGGTAAGCCCTTTTTTTTCCACCTGTGCCATGGGCCATCCTCAGCTGACCCTTTCGGAAGTGAGCACCGGGGCTGCTACTGAGCAGGCAGAGGCGTCTGTGCTGTTTCTGGCCCTGACACTGGTGTGAGGCCCGGCATGCTGGTCAGGGCTTGTCACAAGGTTTCTGAATGCCGTTGGGTTAGGCACAGCAGAAGAGTGGGTACTTAGATATTATTTGGTAGTGTGTTACATAGCATTCTAAAAGATTTTTTCAAAAGGTTACAAAACTTAATTTCATGGGTAGGATTTGTGGCTGCTGGTGGTGACGAGGACTGTGAGAGGGAGAGGGGGCTGGCGAGCGCCTCCAGGATGGGACAGCATGTGAGGGGCACAGCTGGTGCCGGGAATGCCTGCAGAGCAGCTTCCTGACGTCTGCCTTGCTGTGCTCCACCCGGCCCATCTCAGGCCAGGAGACCTTGTTGGCAAGTGTGCCGGGGTGGGCTGGGTCTTTGGTGTGCCTCAAGGCCCTACTTGTAAAAGCTGTTGAGGGCTCTTGTTTATTGGGTTGTATCTAATGATAATTGCTGTAAAAGAAATGAAAACTGTGAAGTTAAAAAAAATCACATAATTATTTAAAAGCAAAGTAAATGTAACATTTACATGTTAGGGAAAACAACAGTTTTGTGTAAAGTACTTCTGAATGAAAAAAAGTCATTTGAGTGGCATTGTTTTCCATGTTGGTCCATCTCTGTCACATCTGGCTAATCAGAGGGACAGCTGGATTTGCAGATCGGCTTCTGCACCCAGCTGGAGGTGATACTGGCTCATATGAAGAAAATCTGGCCTTACATAGATGTGTGGTTGGCAAGGGAGAAGGATTTAGATATCTTTTGAGATAATTGCAGATATTCTGCTTTGATACTACATCAAAACTCAACAAGGTGAAACTGTATCAATGACCTTCTTCCTCTGACGTTAAAACCCATGTTGAATGCATCTTTTGCCCATGTGTGATTTTGAATATTAGGCACTGGTCATTGGGGAACCCTGTCACTCACCTTGTTAGGAAGATCTTCCCTATGTTGACACATTTTATTATGTGTATCAAAAGTCATAGTCACTAATGGTACCTCCCATGTCATAAGGAAAGTCTTTAAATGGGGGAAGCTGTCAGGCTCCAGGGGACAGGTACACATTTACACGTGTATCAGAAATTCAAAAGGTAGAGTTTTAACATTGGCAACAGAGACTACTGGTTGTTTTCTTTGAGGTTCACTCTGTTTTGTGAAAATGTCTGTCAAATATCCAGGTTTGAGTAGCATAGATTTTGCTAGTTGTTCTTTTAAGTGAAGCTGCTCTGTGAGTGAGGAACACTGGGTTCCACCCAGCCGTTGCACCTGGCCTCTGCTTGCCCCTTCCCCTGACATGGAACATTGGAGGCCGATGTTGAGTGAGGCCAGCATCTCACTGCCCCATCCAGGGCATTTGCAGGTGAACCCCCAAGTGCCTAGGGGTCAAGAGTTTAGTTGCTGGAACACACTTCCGTGCCTGGGCCTCGTTGATTCGGCAGGGCTGACACCACTGCTTGGGCACTGTCTCTGTAAAAAAGGCAGTTGAGGTTCTAGTGTTATTATGACATTAATTTTGACCTCCTGGACTCCTAGAAGGATTGCGGGGATCCCAGAGACCTCCTGTTGGTGGGTAGATTCGGAGGGTGCAGGCTGCTGGCTGTCGTACAGCTGTGCTGGGCAGGAAAGGTAGTGTGCCTGTATGCTTGAGGGCTGGCATGAGCAGCTGGGTTGCTTGTCCCTGGTTTGGCAGTGGGTGATCGGGGGCTGGGAGATGGGTACCTGGTCCCCATCGCCTGACCATGAAGGGGTGGGCTGGGCACCGTTGCCGAGACCAGCTCCTGAGGAAGGCGATGCAGTTAGGTCAGGTGTTACCATGTCGGCTCAGAGGGCAGCCAGGTCATGGATCTGAACCCTGAAAAGCAGTAGCCACATCCACCACAGGTGGGGCCCGGCCTGGTGTCTGCTTTGTGAGGAGGAGCTGGTCTGTTGAGAGGCTCCACTGTTGACACATTTTCTCATCCAGATGCTGGACACCCAGGTTTTTGCAAGCTCTTATACTTTTTACCTGCTGGATGGAAACAGGGTGTGGTCGGCCTTCTGCAGCTGTCTGACCGGCTGCTCCTAGTGACCTTGGGCGTGTCTGTGCCTTTCCTCATCTGGTCCTGGACTCCTGGAGCACCAAATATGCCTGACTCAGTTGCTCATATTTTATCACACTGACCTGGAGGCTTCCTGCCCACTTCCAGTTTCCAGTGGCTTCACGAAGGGGTTTCTGCAGTATCACGTCACCAGGCTTGGTTGTCAGCCTGACCGTTCCCACCTTGCAGCTTGGCCTCTGAAACTGCCTAGAGTGGTCAGCACCCTTCCTCCTCCCAGGGGGCGCTGATGTGGGCGGGGCGTGTGCAGGTGCCTGCTGTGGTCAGCACCCCTCCTCCCAGGCCCCTGATGTGGGTGGGGCTTGTGCGGACTCTCTGCTGCCTTTTTTTGGATTCCATGGTCTTGCTGCTGTGTTGGGAGAGTCCTTGCTATGACTGTTTTATGTGTTTGTGTTCCCTTTTCCAACCAGACTCTAAGCTTGAAGGCAAGGATTTTTGTTTTTTAAAAAACAATGTCCAGGCACGGTGGCTCATGCCTCTAATCCCAGCACTTTGTGAGGCCGAGGTGGGCAGATCACTTGAGATCAGGAGTTTGAGGCCAGCCCAGCCAACATGAGGAAACCCCTGTCTCTACTGCAAATACAAAAATGAGCCGGTGTGGTGGTGTGCACCTGTAGTCCCAGCTACTTGGAAGGCCGAGGCCTGAGAGTCGCTTGAACTGTGGAAGCAAAGGTTGCAGTGAGCAGAGATCTCGCTACTGTACCCAGCCTGCGTGAGAGAGTGAACTCTGTCTCAACAACAAAAAAATTTTTAAGAGGCCTTGTACAATATATGCATCTACATACTAGATGCTTAATCTCAAATATTTAGTGATTTAAGTTTCTCATTGAATTTTGTTTTATCTATTTGTATAATTTTTTGTAGGAGGTTGGACATTTGAAATATATGAATTATTGTCAGCAGCAGAATACATTTTGAAATAAATTGTAACATTCCTGTAACAGAGCCAAAAGATTTCAGATACCTAATTCTATAAATAATACATGAATAAGTTCTTATTGTTAAAAAACTGTCTCCAAAAATAGAAATACAACAGAAGCTTCCTTGGACTGTGTTCTCAGTGCCAGTTCTTCTCTTGGAGGTGACCATACCACTGGCAGGAATAAGTCTGACTGCCCAGCAGCTAATGGTGAAGTTTGTAACCGTGATTTTTTGACTGTTTCCAAATGATGACCATTGGAAAAGCTGTGTTGACGTGTTGTACAGTTGGTCTCCCTATGAACCCGGCTGATGGCTGTTGTTTCTTTCTAACAGGCAGTTCCGGCGAGAGGGGAGCCTCAGCAGGATTGCTGTGTGAAGACCGAGCTGCTGGGAGAAGGTGAGGGCGCTCTGCACCGAGGGCCAGGAGCGGCGCTCCTCCAGCCTGGAAACCTGCCGCTCTTCCTCGCTTAATTTGTCCCCGTCTTCTGACTTTCTGGCTTTACCTAGGTTTATGGTGTAGTTTCTCATGTGTCCCATTCCTAAATAGACACAATGGCACAGGCACACACAAAAGCTGTGCCAGAGAGAGAACACATTTGTCCAGGCAGGAAGAGCAAACACCCTGCATGTTCTTGTCTTAAAGTACACCCAGAAAATTAAAAGTGAGGGGCCACATAAATGTCTGTAGCAGCATTGTTCATGTCACTGAAAACCAGAAACACTCAAGTGTCCTCAGTTGATAATGAACTGGATGAACAGAGTGTGGTGCATCCGTACAGTGGGACAGTGGTCAGCAGCACAGAAGAACACACAGCAGGACTCACGCCGCACCAAGGACGAAGCTTATATAGGGTTTGTTAAGTGAAGGAGGCCAGACCCAAAAGGCCACAAACTGCATGGCTCCAGTTTTGTGGCAGAGACGTGGAGGACAGCAGTGGTTACCAGGAGGTGGAGGGCGAGCAGGGTGAGGGCAGTTGGCGCTGCCCCCATCCTCTGTAAGGTGTGGTGCAGGGTTCCCACGTGCTTGTAGAGCTTGCACCAAGAGCGCCCCCAGGAAATGAGGGCGATGGCGCCACACGAACTGTGCTGTGCTCCACAGTGAATGGAGAGCCGGGCAGCTTTGGAGTACAGTGTTGTGGCTGGACGCTACAAGGGTGGCAGCTGTGGGAGCAGCTCAGACACTGGCCTTGCCTAAGACTTTCCTGGCTGGAGCCTGCTCGGCCCCTCATGGACTGCAGGCTGTGGCCTCTGCTGTGTCCTCCTTGCACCCCAGACGGCCCCTCTGTGCCTGTGGGTGCCCATCCACCCAGTGGCTGTGCACTGTGGGGACCGCTGCCCGCCTCTGCTGCCACCCCCGGCCCGCCCTCCAGAGTTGCTCCCACCTCCACGTGTGCCATCACTCTCCTGCAGCCTGACTGGGTGTTTTCTTCCTGTTCTTTGGCTCCTTCCTGTTGCCGTCCCATCTGTGTCTTTGAACTGTTTCTTCTGTCGGCTCCAGTGCCCTCTGGCTCTTTCCTCCTCTCTCTGTGGCCACCCCTCCTTTGACCTTTCTAGTGGGACTTGTTTCCTACGCAATGCCGGATGGCAAAAGCACCGTGTTCTTGCACTGCCCTTGAGGCCCTGCCTGTGCCCTGCTCCTGTGCACGCTGCCACCGAGCCACGGACTGACTGCTCTGGGGAACTGCCGGACCCCACGGTGGCTGCACCCCACGGTGGCTGCACCCCACGATGGCTGCACCGTCTCGCTCTCCCTGCAGCAACTGCGGAAGACTCCAGGTTCTCCACATCCTCGCCACCGTTCCTAGCGTCTGTGGCCGTCCTGGTGGGTGTGAGGTGGCATCTCACTGGTTTTGGTGTGCATTTTCCTGACGGCCAGTGATGGTGAGCGTTGTTGTGTGTGCTAATTGGCCATCTTGGTGTCTTCTTTGGAGAAATGTCTCTTTAGATTCTGTGATTTCAAATTGGATTGATTTTTATTGTTGAGTTTCAGAGTTCTTCATGTAAGTGAACTCCCTGATCAGCCATGTGGTTTGCACATATTTTCTCCTGGTCTGTGGCTTGTCTTTCCCCTTTCTTAACAGTGTCCTTTGAAGTACAGATGTTTTTAGTTTTCATGAAGTCCACCTAACCTGTTTTTTTTTTTTTCTTTAGCTGGTAGTGCTTTTGGTCTGACATCTAATAAATCATTACTTAATAGAAGATCACAAACACATTTGTTTTTTTCTTCTTGGAGTTTTATAGTTTTATCTTTTTATTTAGGTGTCTGATCAATTTTGAGTTAATTTTTATATATGGTTTGAAGTAGGAGACCAACTTTATTATTCTGCAAGTTACTAATCAGTTGTCCCAGCAACATTTATGAAAAAGACCTTTATTCCCCATTTAATTGTTCTTCTGTCCTCATTGAAAATCAGTTGGCCTTAAATGTGAGGGCTTATTCTAGGGTTTTTTTTTCTTTTGGCAGGGTCTCCCTCTGTAATCCAGGCTGCAGTGTGATCACGGCTCACTCTAGCCTCCACCTCCCTGGGCTCAGGCAGTCCTACCACCTCAGCCTCCCAAGAATCTGGGACCACAGGTGTGAGCCACCACACCAGGCTAATTTTTTTTTAAAGAGACACTGTCTCCCTGTGTTGCCCAGGTTGGTCTTGAACTCCTGGGCTCAAGTGATCTGCTTTCTTCAGCCTCCCAAAATGCTGGGATTACAGGTGTGAGTCACCATGCCCAGCCCCTAAGTATTATATTTTTTGATGCTATTTTAAATAGAATTATTTTTAAAGTTCTTTTTCAGTTTGATCATTGGTACTGTGTAGAAATACAATTGATTGGCTGGGTGCGGTGGCCCACGCCTGTAATCCCAGCACTTTGGGAGGCCAAGGCGGGCAGATCACGAGGTCAGGACAGCCTGGCCAACATGGTGAAACCCCTTCTCTACTAAAAATACAAAAATTAGCCAGGCATTGTGCTCGTAATCCCAGCTACTGGGGAGGTTGAGGCAGGAGCATTGCTTGAACCCAGGTGGCAGAGGTTGCGGTGAGCAGAGATGGTACCACTGCACTCCAGCCTGGGCAACAGAGCAAGAACCCATCTCAGAAAAAAAAGAAATATAGTTGATTTTTGTATATTGATCTTATATCGGGTAACCTTGCTGAACTCCTTTATTAGTTCTAATAATTTAGACTTCCTTGGGAATTTCTGTATAAAAGCTTGTGCCATCTTTAGAGCTCATTTGATTTCTTCCTTTCCAGTCTGCATACCTTTTATTTCTGTTTCTTCCTTGGTGGCCCTACTTAGAATCTCCATTGCAGGGTTGAATAGAAGTGGCAAGAATGGACATCCTTGTCTGGTATCTGATCTTAGGGAGAAAGCTTCCAGGCTTTTACCTTTAAGTGTGATGTTCACTGTAGGTTTTTCATGTATGCCCTGTGTCAGATTGAGGAAGTTCTCTTTTCTTAGCACTTTGCTAAGTGTTTTGACCATGAAGAGGTGTTGATTTTTTTCTGTCTATTGAGATGCTTAGGTGGTTTTGTCCTTTATTTTGTTCTATTCATATTTGGCATATTAATTCCTTTTTAGCTATTAAACCAACCTTGCATTTCTGGGGTTAAATCCCACTTGTTCATGGTGTTTAATTCCCCTCACCAATTTTTTGGTGGGGAAGGGGAGCTGGATTCAGTTTGTTCCTTTTTTTTTCTTTTTCTCAGTATGAGACCTGTCAGCTGGGCTGGAGTGCAGTGGTGCAATCATAGCTTACTATAGCCTTGACTTTCTAGACTCAAGTGATCCTTCTGCCTCACCCTCCTGAATAGCTGGGACTACAAGTGTGCACCTCCATGCCTGGCTAATTTTGTTATTTTTGGTACAGATGGAGTCTCACTATGTTGCCCAGGTGAGTCCTGAACTCCTGGGTTCAAGCAGTTGTCCCTTCTTGGCCTCCCAAAATGCTGAAATTACAGGCGTGTGCAACTGTGCCCAACCTATAGATTTCTTAATTCGAGGGGACTTGGCAGCTTTGTAATGTTGTCATCCCATTTAGGAGGATGAAATGCCCTCCATTTAACTTTTTTTTCCCCCCAACATGTTGGCTTTGAGTTATCTTGGCAGATTTTCTAATACCCTTTGTAATTTTCCTTACTTTTGTGAATGATACTTTTTTTCTTACATTTTCTAGGTAATATTGATACAAAGAAATGTCCTTGATTTTGTAACACGATTTCAAATTCAGCAGTCTTGTTGTACCCTTGTGTTTTAGTTGCTAATTGGTTCTGTTGTTTTAAGTGAATGATGGTGTCAGGGGCAGGTGAGAACAGTTTGCCTTCGTTTGTAGGCCCTGCCCCTCACATTTCTCTTTCACTTTGGTGTTATCCACATTGCCTTTTTATGTTAGACACTGGTAGTGTCAATAGATCTTATATGCGAGTAGTTTAACATTTAAATACAGCTAGTGCTCGACTTACGACCACGATTGGTTCCGACAGACCAGTCGTAACACGATTTGGTCGTAAGTTGAGTAGGCTATATGTACAGTACTGTGAAATGATGTTATAAAAATCTTTAAGTCATATTTTATCATAATTTTCTTTCATTATCATTATATATCATAATTTTCTTTGTTCATTTTATGCCATTTGTATCATCTCTACACCATTTTGTTTCTTATTTCTACATTCGTCAGGTTTAAGTAAAACACTGCATTACCAGTACAACTGGTTTAATATTTGCAAAACATACAAAATTACAAAATACAGGTGCATACAAAAATACCATAGGAAACATTTTCCCAATTGCAAAACATATCAAAATATATAAACATGTACGAAACATTTTATTGGCCGCTGGTGCTTGGCTACGGATCGTTGATGCCGTCATCTGAGGCAGCAGTTGGGGTTACGAGAGTTGGTTTTTTCATAAACATGGTGAGCTTGGTCTGAATTGTATGTTTCTTTTTTTCTTCATAAATTTCACGATACGGATGAAACACATCGTGCACCATCCGTTCAATCCTTGCAAATCGTTCGATGTTTGGGTCCATTGCTTCGAAATGTATAAAGAGATTTATTCAGTAAAGATAAACCGTCTGAAAATCTCTTAGTGGTGAACTTTCTTTCTGGCTCCTCCTCTTCTTTCTCTGCTTCTCTTCTTTCTTCTTCCGCCACTCTTTCTTCTTCCAGTTCGATTAGCTCTTCATTTGTAAGTTCTCCAGATTCTTTGTCTAGCAACTCTCCGACATCTTCCATTTCACACTCCAAAGAAAGGTCTTTAGCGAGTTTTACCATTTTTTCCCGAATCGTTTCAAGTTCACGTTCACTGTCAAATCAGTCAAAATCATTAACATAGCGCATAACACAATTTTTCCAGATGCCATTCATGCACTTTGTCGTCACAGCCTCCCAGGCGGTAGCGATATTCTTGATACACGTCAAAATCTTGTAGTGTTTCCAAAAATCTCGCAATGCTAGTTCTGAGTCAGCATCTATAGCGGATATTGCGTGAGCGAAGGTGGTTCAGAGATAGTTGGCCTTTAATGTAACAATCGAACCTTGGTCCGTAGGCTGGATGAGTGGAGTCATGTTTGGCGGAAGAAAAACAAATTTTACATCTGGATGGAGATCGCCTAGATGTGGTGGGTGTCCAGGTGCATTATCAAGTAGCAATAAAATCTTGAAAGGAATATCTTTCTCCAAACAATATTCTTGAACTTGAGGAATAAAGCAGTTCATAAACCAGTCTTCAAACAATCCTTGTGTCATCCGTGCTTTACGTTGAGAACGAAAGTAGACGGGCAGTGTGTGCTTGTTAACATTTTTGAACGCACGCGGGTTGTCTGAGTGATAAATTAAGAACGGCTTCAGCTTAAAGCCTGCGATGTTCCCGCCAAGCAGCAGAGTTAGCCTATCCTTAAATGCTTTAAATCCCGGCATGCTTTTGGCCTCTTTGTGAATATAGGTGTGTGCTGGCATCGTTTCCAAAATAATCCAGTTTCATCAACATTAAAAATCCGTTCTGCTAGATATCCCTCATCTGTAATTAATTCATCCAGACTATCAACAAACTTACGTGCTCCTTCCTCACCTGCACTCGCTGCTTCTCCAGTCACTCGAACACTATGCATCTGGAATCTTTTCTTGAATCTCTGGAACCAGCCAGTGCTTGCTACAAATTCTTGACGGTAATCTTCTCTAGCATGCTCCTTCAGAGTCTGAAATAGATTTCTCGCCTTCATCTGCACAGTAAAAAGACTTAATTGTGTCCGTTTTTGAATTTGATCTTCCATCCAAATATATAGCAATTTCTCCATTTCATGGATGGGCCCGCTTCGTTGCTTTGTTATGACTGTTGATCACATGGGTGCAGAACCTTTCACAGCTTCATGAATTCTTCTTTATGTTTCAAAATCGTCAACACAGTCGAGTGTGATAACTTCGTATCACGTGCGATCACATTCACTTTCTTTCCTCCTTCGTACTGCTTAATTACCTTCATTTTCGTGTCGAGATCAATGGCCTTTCTTTCCTTCTTAGCAGGCTGAGGTGTAGACAAAGACAGTTTCCTCTTGGTAGACATCTTGGGAGGGGTTTGATGAAAAATATCCAAGACACAAAACACAAATTGCTGTACCGAGTCTGGGATAACAGTTGAAATGGTGCACGCAGAGATGGTAGTGCTGCCAGAAGCTGGTCTGCACTGTCATACGCCCAGCTGGGCAACGTTTACGCTGCCAGACGTGGAGCAGTCGTGGCTAGCTATTGTGGTCGTAAAGTCGAATGGTCTTAAGTTGCATAGGTCGTAAGTCAATCAATACCTGTATACATTTGCTGCAGGATTTGGTATATAGCCTTCTCCAAGTTAAGGAAGTTTCCATTTACTCTGTTTTGCTAAGGGTTTTTAAAACACAGCTGTTTATTCAGAACACACACATGAGGTGCCAGGCGCGTTGATGTGCTCAGAGTATACTGGTGAACAGATGAAGCGCTTGCGCTCACAGAACTCAACGTCCTAGGGTGGAAGGACAGACGGTCAGCATGACAGATGATCAGGTCTGTTGTGTTCGAGGTGATAAGCACCAGGAAGAACAGAGCCAGGAAGGAGGGTGCCGGGCGTTGTCTCACGCTTGGCTGAGGCTGCTTGTGCACCCAGCAATGATGCCATCTATCCGTCGCAGGGTTCCTCCTCCAGCCTGTCTGAGGTGAAGTGTATTTGTCAGTCTCATGATGTAAAATAAAAATAGTGTCTCCTTCTTAACCGCCCTGGATATGATTTCCTGGGGTTGCCATCAGAGAGTGACCTGCTGTAGGGTGTGGTCAGCAGACCACAGACATGCTCAAGTATAGCCTTTTTCTGACCCATTTTCTCTGTTAGTTCTTGTGAAGCCACTTTTGAAGCCTTTTCTATCTCCAAATAATACTCTAGTTTTTATTATACTGGTGATTCCCCAAACTTAGCCATCTAAAGTTCAAAGTTTATGCTTAAGAAATGTTTACATTTAATATCTTTGAACTCATAGCTGGTTTGTGTATGAAAAAAATTTTTCTTTAGTTTTATACAAGACATTCAAAGAAATTGTGTTGGCGGTGATGTCATGGAGGGGGAGGGAATCGTGTTG